TCCTCCCCCTCCTCCACCTCCTTCTCCTCCTCCCCCTCCTCCCCCTCCTCCTCCCCCTCCTCCTCCTCCACTTCCTTCTCCTCTTCCTCCTCCCCCTCTTCTTCCCCCTCCTCCTCCTCCACTTCCTTCTCCTCCTCCTTCTCCTCCTCCTTCTACTCCTCCTCCTCTGACTCCTCCGACTCCTCCTCCTCCAATGTGCTTTTCTTATCACAAACTTCTTTATGACCATTACAGCTTCTCCCATTGTCTTTGCCTTTAGACTATAACCTGGGCAGATCCAATGATGCATGTGCCCAGTTTCTTAATTGCATGTTTTACACTCTGTAAATGGCCATCGAGGGAATCAACTCCAAGGCCTTAGGTAACCTGGTGTGTGTAAGCATAGTTATCTCAGGGACACCTGTGCAACTGAATAAACAGCCAAACTACCAACACAAGAATTAAAGTTTTTAAGAGCATATTTTCATTAGCTCTGAAAACAAATTCAGTTGCAAATATGGGAGGACAGAGAATATAAGAGAATATAAGAGAATATGGGCTTCCACTGGTGAGGTTGGACACAAACAAAGCACCCGAGAGTACTCAGGAAATGGTCCATGCAGAAGTCTGTGTATGGTTCAAATGCATATAACTAATGCTCAGAGTGAGTGTTCACTGTTGTAGTGTCCTCTGAATAATTTGCATTTTAGTACCTCATATTCTCAGCTTACTGGGGAACAATAAACTTACCGGGTGGCGAAATGGCTTATCAGGCAAACACACCTACTACCGAGCTTGCTGAACGGAACTTTATCCTCAGACCCACAAGGTGGAAGGGTGGCTTAACCCTTTAATGTAGTTCCTCATGTTCTGGTGACCCCCACCCCCGAACCTGTAAAATTATTTTCATTGCCACTTGCTACTTCATAACTGTAATTTTGCTAATGTCATAAATTGTAATTTAAATATCTGATATGCAGGATATCTGACGTACGACCCCTGTGAAGGGGTCATTTGACCTCCAAGGAGGTGACACCCCACAGGCAAGAACTGCAGTGAGTCTGCCCTCTAGCCCACACCTCACAACATTTATATATACATACATATATATAGTATTAATTTTATAAATATATATTAATATTTATAATATTATAATTAATATATTTATATATAGTATTGACTATATATATAAATATATATTTCTTGTTACAAATACAAAATGTATATGATTAAAATGTCTTAAAGAAAAGCAGAAGGGAAGTAGAAGGTAGAGGCAGATGATCTGAGATACCAGCTTAAGCCACGTACAGTCAGTCACTGCACACAGCTCAATCAACTGCTGATCAAAGATACGACTTGAAATCTGTAACTATGCTGAACGTGCAGCAACTGTTTTGGGTTACTGTTCACTAACTAAGATAGCATAATAAGCCCTACAGAGCGTGCACATTTGTTGTCCTGAGAGGAGAAAAGCGTAAGAGGAGACTGGGGGTGTAGCTCAGTAGTGAGAGGCTGGTCTTCACGGACGAGCTCCCGGTCCCTTACCCAGCACAGTCAAGAACACACCCAGCACATACATGCACACAGACATACATACAGAGTAGGCAAGCTGCCAGCTGGCTCCAAACGCTATGTTAGTCTTATTAGAATCAAATGTGTGTACTTTTTTTCCCTTTTGCTGTGTGGTCAGGCAGGTTTTTCCGAGGTACCTAGCTATTGACTAGTAAGACCCAGTTTTTTAGTTTAAAAGAAGGTAGCTCCCTGTCCCACCTGTTGAACACTTCATTAAGCAAGCAACATTTGAAGTGCTTCAAATGATCGACAGGGTTCGATCCTCGCGCCTTGTCCTCTCTCAGCCACTCTAAGAGCCCCGTTCTTCCAGGAATGAAGTAGAACGCGTCTCTATACTGCTCTGCTCCAATCTCGAACACATTTGCACTACTTCTGTCCTGGTGTCAGGTAAGCTGCCTTTCTCTTCTCTCCTTACCCCAAACACAGACAGGTCTCCGGGGCAGTGAGTGACATTCACGGAAGCCTAAGACTGTTTGAACAGGAGAAGGGGAAATTTAAAACTGCTGAGCCAAAGAAACCTCACTGACATTTCCCCTTTCCTCAGAGGAACCCCCGAGCGCGCCTGCTGTTTAGCAGGCTTCCCTAGACTGAAGAACAGCTCAGCGCACAGAACAGAAGGGAACGTTTGGCTTCGTGCTTCGGATGGCTGCCACACTGAATACCGGTGGTAAAGAAATCACTCCCAGGAGGTGCAGTGAGATCCGCTCAGTTGCCAGCAGACCAGCAACTGGGACCCAAGCTCTTTAGCAAGCACTAGAGGCTCCTACCAGAAGCGGAGGACGGACCCTGACGCGGGGTTCAGGGGTCTGGGGCCTCTTCCTGCGTGGACATTTGGCTCTAGGAAGGAATTCTCCACACTGACTTTTTGCCTCCTACTCTAGGCTGCTGATGGTGCCTGAAAGAGCAGCCAGAAAGGGCCCTGGTCCCTAAGCACTATGCATTCCAGTCACATCTTCTGTCCATCACCGCTGGGCCCAGGCCCATCCCAGGTGGAGGCAAAGATTGCAAGGCTTGTTCTTGGCATCAATAATAGCTCGAGGCGCATCACTACCCCAAGTTTCTGCCATTGCAAAGACATATTTCATCCTAACATGGTCAAAGGTTTCTAAGCACAAGCAATCCCTGCCCGTCCACGAGCTGTTTGTGGGGAGGAGGGAGGAAAAAAGGAACACGTGAAAAGGAAAGGATTTGTCAGCTCGGCCGAAGAAACTTCCAAATACTACTTCTCTGCACATCCAGCACATTTCTCCTACTTCTCTCCACCTTCGCAGTGGGGAAGATGGAGAGAAAACTAAGATAAGGGAAGGTGTGAAGACCAACTCAGGGACCCTGCGCTCCCAGGGACCCACGCGGATTGAAATCGCAGCCCCAGGGTAGCAGATTTTAGTAAGGGATCACTAACAGGGTCTGCGCATAAAATCTCGCTGAGCATCACATAGATCCGCATTAGCTACAGATGGAAAAAACCTAATAGGTGCACCCGGAGAACTAAGGTAGCAACCAGAGCTCCGTGCTCCACAGATCCCGTGTCCCGGGGTCCCGGTTCTGCAAACCTCAGCCTTCCAAACCCCAGCACCCTCCCAGTCGCCGTCCCTTAGCTCCACACACCAGCTGGGGTCTCCATTCCCCGAACCCCCGAGTTCCAGCTGGTGCTTATGCCGGGGACCTCGACCCTGGTGGACGGCGGGCGATGGCGGTGCGGGTCCTTACCTGCAGCGGGACGAGCAGCACGCAGAGGGCCAGCAGCAGCGCGGGCAGCTGGCGGCGCCGCCGGGCGCGCGGGGCCATGGCGCGGTGCGGGCGGGCTGGGCGCGCGGCCTCTGTGGACCCGCGGTCGCCGCCGCCCT